AGCAAAACAACTATTGCCATGTGTGGGAGGTCATTTAACCAATGGAGACCAAGCCCAACAAGACTCAGGTGCAGGGATTAGCAAATATTTCAAGCAACTCTTACAATATACAACTAAAGGATAATACAGCTAAAGGATAAGTGAGCACAAGCTGACAAAATTACCTCCCTGGTGACATTGTTAAGCCTCTAAAAACAGCTCCTCACTTGTGTTATAAAGATTTCACATGTTCTCACTTGCTACAGTATCATGGCAAGCTTCATCCAAGAAAAAACACTCATCCACATTAAACATCAAACTATCAAGAAAAGAAAGTGATGTTACTTCTTAAAATCCTTGAAGTGATAATTCTTTTATTGTGTCAGATGTGTTAGGTAGTCCTTGACCTAGAGAAATTTAGTGTTGAATGTTGTTTTGGGGGTTTATTCTAAGATGATCCCATAATAGTCACTAAAAAGAAGTACAAATAACAAAGAATACAGTAACTTTTGCTGGGGCCAGAGCCTAGAGAAGTTCTTTTAGACCCTAGTTTTCAGGAAAAGTAAGAATTTTCCAGAGACAGAAAGAGAAGGAAAGAGGAGTATAAAGAGAGAGAGTCTCAAATGCCAGGAAGCTGAAGATGAGTAGCACTGTCTAGCTGGAAAGTAGAGTTGTAGGTGGGTATCTAAGAACTGAGGCTGGAGAGGCAGCCGGGAAATAATCTATGAAGAGTTCCCACCAAAATCTGTCATGGAAGGCTAAATCATGTCACCTGTGCTGTTAAGAATATCAATACTGAAAATACAAAGATAGGCTACATTGGAGTGATGAAACTCAAGTAGTTCCCCAGCAAAATTTCCAAACTAAGACATTTGTATGAGTTGCCATACAGAGATTCACTCCAGAGCAAGGATGAAATGAACCCTCATAAGTTGTCTTCAGCAATAGCAATTATAAACCACAGGAAGAAAATTCTGTTGTGTGCAAAGTTCAACAGAACAAAAAAAATAAGTGGATGAGCACTTTAAGAGCTTAACATGTGAGAAGAGCCTGTAAAGGACTAATACACAGGTTCATAATCATTTTTAAAGTAAAGCGAAACAGGAATGCAGTGAAAACATTACAACCTCGACAAAAGAAAGGATTGGTTTGCAAGAAGTAAAATATATAGAAATTGCAAATGTAGAATTGAAATGTAGAAAACAACCAGTGACTTCTTTACAAATGGGTTGTCAGAGTAGAGAAAAATGTGCAGACTATAGCTCAGAATGCAGAGACTAGTGATGAGTGAGGTGTGGCAGATAAACTCTTGAGGTGGACCCAGTGCTCTATCTACATCCTTTATACCGTCTTTGGGTCCATTCCCTTTGAGTGTAGATGAGAGCTGTCAGGCTCCTAACCCACACAATATAATAAAGGTCAGGGATGAGACCCTAAGCAAGGATAAAGATGACAAGGGTGTACTGCTTTTAGTTTAAGGTAGTACCATTGCAGAGCAACAGGAAATACCACAAATGGCTTGGACACAGGTAACATGGAACCATAGATTCAATATATCTACAACATGAGTCTCAATTTTATATATTATGCCAAGATTTAATCAAATTTGAAATAGTGACGCATAAAATGATATTGTAGTTGTTTTCAAAGCTTTATTTATAGTCATTCATTTACTCAGTGGATCCGTCTTTCAGCTAGCTTTCATTGTATTGAACTGACTGTCACTAGAGAACTACACTTTGTTGCCCACAATCATTAGGTCAGACAGCTTCAGACTTTGTTTGTGGAGACCCATCTCTGCATTTGGTACTACACCTGGCAATTCAAAAATTTCCTTTCATTTGTCCATGTTACTTCGGTAACCTCTTCACTATGTATTTATTAGTGAAGTCTTGTCTGTCCTTTAATCCATTTTTACATAGAAGTTCCAGTGATCTTTGAGAGTGTAAGTGCAATTGTCAGTTTTCTGATTGAAGCATTTCAAAGACTTCCCAATGTATTTAGGATGAAAAGCAAGTCTTTCCATGACTTCTAAGCATTTTCCCACTTGCTTCTACGGCTTAGTCTTCCCACGCTCTCCCTCTGTTTTCCAGCCACACTGTCCAAACTTTACAGCCCTTCCTGCTTGGAATGTTGCTGTCTGCCCCATCTTTCCTTTCCTATCAGGTCCCTACTTACCTTGAAATCTCACCATAGTCTTTGGCAAACATGCCTTCTTGGCCTTCTACAACCAGTTTTAATTTTGGGCAGAAATCCCATGCTGCACAGGCCCCAAAAGCTACTTCTGTCACAACGTTGGCTGAAGAATTCTCTTCTTGATTTATCTGCCTCCTCTACCTCTGTTACCTTTAGCTTTATGTAGGCAGGCATCATGTCTAATTCGTGGTTGTTTACCCAGGAGTTACAAAGGAATGGCATATCGTAAGTATTCACTAGATCAATTGTTGAGTAAATAAAAGAAGGTTATGGAGAACAATAAAGCAATATGTATCGGAATTGACATTAGCAGTTGAAACAGGATTCTTCTCTAAATTATTACATTCAAATTGTGTGTAGCAACACTTCCTGTAAGAGCTTTAATTTTGAAGTATTGATCTAAATGACTTCTATGTCTTCCAACAAAATTAGGGAACAACTTGGAATGAGAGAGAGTTTTATTGCTATAGTACTAAAAAAGTGTAGTTGGGAAAAATTATATGCTTAAAAATGGCTTCTCATAATCTTGTTCCAGATTTCTGAACCAATGCCACCCGAATTTACTATTCTCTTTATATAATCAAAACATTGTATTTCTCTAAAACCCCCTTCTCTTATCTCCAGCAGAGAGAAAGTGGTTAAACCCATTCCCTATTGGTACACTTACAAAGGAGGAAGGCAGTCAACACCCATCACAGTCCTGTGGGGTACATGTTAAAGATCAAACATAAGCAAAATGAAATGAGATTTTTTCCAAGTAAATCTGATTCACAAGAACATGTGTGAAAGTGTGAATATCCCAAGTATGTGAACTTCTGTCCCCATGACCAGGTCAAACTAAGAGCAGCTTATGTAAGACAACAGTAAGAATCAATGAGGTTGTAGTCAGAAACAGTGTAAGTCAACTATAAGAACAAGTGAGGTTGTACTCTGTTCTAGAATCGCTTGCCTGATGGGGAGAGAATAGTGAAAAGATGAGTATTCATGTGTATTTCTGGTGTGTGTGTGTGTGTGTGTGTGTGTGTGTGTGCTCACGCGTGTGCATGTATGCCTGTTTGTCATCTCTTTCTGTGTAACCTACAGTTCAAGCAAACAAAGATGCATGCCACCAGAGAATAACAAAAGGAACATGCAAAAGAAAAGACTTTATTTTTCTGTGAAAATGTGTAAAATCCTTAGTCACATAAACATACTTGAACCACAGAGAAATGAGGTAATAGAGAATTTAACAAAATGTTATCAAATGATAATGAGACAGTTAGAAAATAGAAGAGCAATTGGCAATTACAGTGACAACAGAAGCATCAGAACAATACAGAGAAAAGCTTTGTGGATAAGCACTCCTTAGATATATTGTGTAAGGAACAGATCACATTCAGAATAGTCTGTAGGTACACAGTTGAAGACATGTGTAGAAGGGAGTAAACATGAAACTCTACATATGGTCTCTGACTATAATCTACTTAATAATTATTGCAGAGACTTAGGAATGCAAATATTTTTGGAAAAGTTTCACTAACTTCCTGGCCACAAAATATCACTTTGCAAGAGGCTATCTGAAGCCATGGTATGGACACAAAGACTTACATGTGAGGAAAACAATGAGAATGGATGGAAGACCTTAACATTGCTGCTAGTTTGGAATGATTGTCACAGGGTGAGGGCTGCTACATAATATCTGTTACTAAAGATGAATGGAAAAAATGTAGTTTGTTTACTTTCCTAGTGTATCATCTTGTCCTTTGTCTGACTGGTGTATTTAGATCCACTTTGGTATTTTCAAGGTGAAAAGATTTCCTTAAAACAACCTCGACTCAATGGGCATTAATAGCATGTAAAAGAAAAGTTACCCTCGTGCTTTAAGCAGGGCAGACCCTGGAGACATAGATACATTGGCAGAAGGGTATCTTGCAGGCACTGTTATTTCAGTGATGTTATGAGTTTATTCAGTGGTTCAAAGTATCCCCCCAATGAACACTAATAGCATCTCCTTTGGGATGATACCCCACCCAAAGATATTTATCACAAATAATTGGCCAGGGAAAACTTGATAGAAAAGTCCACGCCCTCACAAATGTATCAATAGGTAACAGAAAGTTTTCAATTATAATAGAAAGGGGGAAATTTTTAAAAAATTGAGAAAAGGCTATTTGCTATTTTCTGATGGAAAGAATGCCCCGTGAAATTAGGACTGATGCTACTGAAGGACGGTCTTTCCCCTACACTATTGGGAATAAACTCCCCCCTTCTTCATATAGAAGAGAACTGTCTGAACTTCATTAGAATGGCTTTGCATACACACATGACTGTAAAAATAATCAATAGATATTTTTTCAAATTTTCATGTTCCATATAACTTATGGGAATGAAGAGAGCACATGCCAGAGGTAAAGTTTAAACTGGAACATGCAAAAGTGTAGTGAAGAGGAAAGGTTTTCTAATTGCAATAAAAACATTCAACATGGAAATGTTTAGGATGGCAGGGCCTTAGGATTCAGGACACTGGATAAAGAGATATGTCTGGCTATATTAAGAACATTCTTTTCATTTAAAAAGTAGAATAGGAAAATATAAAAGACCTAGAGTGCTTGTGGTGGGCTTAAAAGAGACTTGCATTTTCATCATCAAGATGTGTTCCATTCCCTCATTTCCCAAAGACCTACACTGAGATAGGGCATTTATTGCAAATAAAAATTTTGTTAATAATTTTCCTGTGCACCCCACTCTACAACTGGCTCGTCGTTCATGCGCAGAACGAGGTAGGACAGGAGCTGAAAGAGGTTTTGCCACAGTAGGAGGGACACATAAAAAGAAATTCCGCTTACGTCCAGCTCACAGCGATCCCCCGCGAAGGCCACATCGCAGATGCACTGGAACCTGTTGACCAAGTCCCTGCACAGGCCTCCATGGAGGCAGGGATAGGAAGCACACTCATCGATGTCCTCTTCACACCTTGAACATGAATGGAGAAGCAGAAGCCCAGGGTTGAATGAGTAAATGGGCTGTAAGACGGAGCGGTGGTTTGTCTCTCTTCCTAGCATGACACAGGGTGATTACCAATGCTATCTAATTACACACACAGGTTGACTTTAAAGATAACTTAAGAACCCTTTCATACACTTTGATTTTGAGTTTTGTGGAAATTATCCACACAGATGGACAGACATGCACACACATACTGAATTAATTTGAATAAGAAAATGTTGGCAAATATTTAGAAGCCCTGTTTGTCCATTAAGAGCACAGTTGGGTTTGCCACATTATAAATGCCAGTTATATTAGGAGGACACTCTACAGGGCAGAGGAAACCCTGATGGCAAAGGTTCTGTCTCTGCCAGGATCGATTGGTTAATTCTGGGAGATGCTGAATTATTTTCCTTTGAAATTCCATTTTTTAACACAATCAATAGTAAGTAAAAAACATGTTGATAGTGTTGATAAATCTGTCCTCTAGTAGTAACCCAGAACTCTAACATTCTAGTAAGTGATATCAAATATGCCTTTCTGAAGGAACTACCACCCATGCCAAGTTCCATGAATATTGGGGAACTGCCCAGCAACTTTTCTACCAACATTTTTTTTTCTGATATTTAAAACTGACATATGAACACAAAATGACACACACCTGTGGGGTAAATAAGTGTGTGTGTGTGTGTGTGTGTGTGTGATATGTCGATTCTTTGCTGCAATATTCAAATGGGGTTGACTAAAACAACAGCACATCCTTCTATTGATACTTTCAAATCAGTCCTTCTAGGTTTTTGCAATATTATTGTGTATAGTGAACAAATCCTGGACATTGATGGATTAATTGGGTAGTTTTACCTATCTTGTGATAAACACTCTGTTAGGGCCTCAGGGCAGAACAGTGGTGATGGCATTTGTATTACTTTAGGTAACTCATGAAATTTTAGCCTCTGGATCTCTGCAGAACAGCTTATGATGGAAACTGTTTTGAATCGCCACTTCCCCCAAAGTAGAACTTCCATGTGTGCCAGAGACTTCTCACCAGGCTCAAATGCAAGGGCTGAGGTAGAGGAGCTGTGAGATCCCTGGTGTGACAGAAATGGAGATTCATTCCAAGGAAAACAGCTCCTTCTCTGCAGGATACCGAGCATAGCTGAGGCCCTATTTTCCTTTTATGGCCCTGGCTTCTGGGCTGGAAGAAGGCTTCCCTGATTAGATCCCAGCCAAACCTGACAACTCTCTGGAGCTTGCCAAGTACTCTGTGTCCTGGGTGGCCAGTACTCATACCATCTATCATCTGAACCTGCTGAATGACACTGTGAAGCTGGAGGCTTAAGCAGGCAGAATAGTGTCTTCATATCCTCCACTGTGTGGAGGATTTGCTGCCGTAAGCCTTAGGGAACTGTCTAAACATTTCCAGTTCTTCCTTCTGCTACTCTTTCATTTCTTTTACCAATTTCTGTTTTGAGCAAAACAGTTGAGCAAAACTTTCATATGCATGATAAACTCCAGTGAAGCCATTATTAGAAAATAATAAGACTGAATGCAGTGTTCATTCCTGAAATCCCAGCAACGGGACAAGACAGGCAGAAGGGTGACAGCAAATTTAAGATGAGCCTGCTCTATGTAGCAAGTTCTAGACAAACCAGAGCTAAAATAAGAGCCAGTCCCCACAGCAAAACAAAACAAAACAAAGAAGATGATAATGAATAGATGGAAAGTCAAAAAAAATCCACTAAGCTCTCCTGAATCAACTAATGGTGCTTAGTGTGTTTGCAAATCAGAATATATTAAACACACATTCACTGCTTGAAATAAATTTTCATCAATGCAGTTTATTTGGATGCAATGAAAATTAGTAACCCTTTCCCCATCTTAATAATTTAAATGGCAAGCATGAATTTGAAAACTGATATGTATCAGAGAAGATAGGAATATTTACTGAGAGAAAATCAAGGTATTGGATGAATCCTATTCATTGTGCTGTTAATGGGAACTAATATTAAGCCAGGGAGCAACCAGCATTTAAAGACAGTAAAGAGATGTCTATATTTAGGGGGAAGATAAATTTATATTTTGAAGATGTGAAAGCAGAGGTCAACTGAATGCCAACTTATTAGATGCATGCCATAGTGTGATAGACTGGAAAATGGATGGGACTTCTCTACTCCTTTTACACACACACACACACACACACACAATGAAATCTTTCTTGAAGGTCTCAGGATGATATTGTAAGGTTCACACACAATGAAATCTTGCTTGAAGGTCTCAGGATGATATTGTAAGGTTCCTGGATTCGTTCTAAACAAATGTTATGTTTTATCTGTGTACATAATGCCTGTGTCCATAGACTCTGATTTGTATCTGTTTGGGGGATGGATTTCTCTTTGGAGATTTGATCAAAGCAGGGAGAATGTTCTCTCTTGTCCTTGCCCACACACTAGCCGATCAAATGCATACACGACTTGCAGTCATAACTGGTCACAGATTGTCCGATTCCAGTGGCAGACCCTGACTGGGTGAAGAGTTGAAGGGCTCTCTGTGAAGTAATAGTTCCCTGGGAAAGGGGTACATACACTTTAGGGTGCAGTTAATCGTATAAGGCATCATTTAGGTATGTCTTTTATTTTACTTTAAAAGTAATCATATTTTGAAATCATGTATTAGAGTTAGTCAAGGGAGTGGAGGACTCTATGAATCCAGAAGTACTAATAGGAAAGAATAATAAAACATTATATATTTTAAAAATTGTATTTTCCTACTTGAAGTCTTGGCTGGTAAAATATTCTATACTTTGACCTACACTGTAATTTTTCTTCTTTTCTATTGCTTGATTCTGTCTGGACCTATATTTCAACATAGATTTTCCTGTGGGAACTGAGATGAAAAACTGGAGGAGAAAATGAACCCTGGGCAATCCCACTGTTCTTTAGCTCAGAACTTTTGCCCATAAAGTTCTAGTGTGACTCACCACTCTCCAGTGAAACCTGGCCGGCACATACATTTCCAGTCCTCCTGGACCTTGGTGCAGTTGCCTCCATTGTAGCAAGTGAGATTTGTCTCCTCGTTCCCACAGGCTGTTGAGGGTAATCGGCTGTGTCTAGAGAGATAAAAGTCATGGCCACAGCTGTTTATCTCGTTCATTCCGTTCAAGGGAAAAAAATGAAAAGTTCATATATGTAGTCAGTGTTAGGCTAATTAAGTACTGAGGCTGGAGAAACAGTAAATGCTGGATTGTGCTGCATTATACAAACACCACATTCTCCAGCCAAATGCCCCTGCTGGAGGCTTCTGCAACCAACATGGCCATCCATCTTCTATTCTCCACAGAGGTTCCTGCATGAGATAAGATCTATGGCATGGGGTGGCAGTAAATTTAGGGCTGGGAAGGAGCTCACATAGCTAGATCTGCAGCTGCTTTTCTAATAAATCAACAGAGGCCATAGGAAAATTGCATCTCTATAAAGGCCAGAAAAGCAAGGAGAACATGCTGGTACTCAAGCACTCATGTGATTTCTCTGTTGACTTTCAGAGCTGAACTACAGTTGCCCTGCCAAGACTTGCCTGCTCCCTCTCTCATAATTCATAGCTTTGCACAGTGCAAGCCAAGTACTGTCCAGGAGGTTTGTGTATAATACTCAATGTAACTGCATGTGAGTTCAGCATGTGGCTCCTTGTACAGCAGCAAAGCTGAACCGGCTAAAGAATCCGCATAAAAGGAAGAGCAGATTGTTAAAGGCTAAGAAAACACTGCTAGAAAAAAAATACCTAGGCTTGAAAGAGCTGTTTTTAAACAGATTTTAAGAGTGTTGCTCAGGTCCTTTGGCTGTGTGTGTGTGTGTGTGTGTGTGTGTGTGTGTGTTCAGATACAGACTAAATATTCGGAAAGTAAGTGAAAGGAAGCTTCACTTTTGTTCTGTCATGTACTGAAGCTAACACAAAAATCCAGCTGCATGATGGTATAAAAGAGCTAATCAATTCTACTTCAAAAGGAAAATATCATAAGGACATTTCAAAAGTGTCAAGGATGTCAATAGCTCTAAAAACGGTCATTAGCAATGCAAAACTCCAGTTTTATACACACCTTGGCTTAATCAACAGCCTCTGAAGAGTTCATTAGAAGGGACTCTAAAGAACTTTATTCTTTTCACTTGATTTTGATGAATCATACAGGAAAAAGTTTCAGAGAACTCACTACAAGGGCATATATTTTCTTATCCATGGTCATTGCTTGAGACTCCTCATTTTGATTCCAAATTTCTCTTGCTTTTAACCAGGTACACTATTCACTGACAAATGAATCTGTTGACTTACAGGAAATGGCATCTATTAAATAACCCGATCACTTAGCATTCTCACTGTGCCTTGCCTCTGTGAGCTCTGAACAATAATAGGTGTTGTGAAGATGAACACAACTTCTCACAAGCGTGGCTGCGTGTGTAATGCCTGCCAAGAGATTCTTCCTCTGAATCCAAGTGATGTCTACAGGCTGCTACACTTTAGATAGTCTTGCCCAAGTCCTGGAATATATTATTGGTTAATAATAACCCTCTTATCTCCCTACAATGACTCAACTATTTAATAAATGCCAGGCAATGTAAGTTGTAAAAACAGTAACAACACAGAAGCAACACGACTTAGAATGAAAAAAATATTTTTATCTCTACATAGCACAAAAGTGAGGTAGTTGCAAGAGGCACTGATTATTATTGCAATTTTAGAAAAAAATCTTTAAAATGGATAGATTTAATGAATATTCTTTCAGTGGCATGTGGAACACTATATAAAGGCCACTAGGACATCTGATTTTGTGTTGGTATATACCCTAAATTTTCTTTATTAAGCTGTATTAAGACTCTGTAAGCTATACCAAATAAACATTGTGTTTACTATCTGGATAAAAAACTGCTATTCATAGATATAGAGTATTCCACAATATGATCACATCTTTACAAGATCAAATTGTGATGGAAGTGCTCAAAGCCCTCGTTTAGCATATGTGGATATTTAAAGGGGAGATCTTTCTGACTTAACAAGGAGAATGCAGAGCACAGCCGCCAAAAGACTGAGTTTTGCATGCACTTTATGCTCACCTGCAAAATCTCCCTGTAAAATTTCCAAAACACAGACAAGAATAGCCATGACTTCCAGTGACGCAAGTGGCCCCATTTGCACATCGATGATTCTCGCAATTGTCCATATCCATTTCACAGTTCACACCAGTGTATCCGGGCTCACACCTGCAGTGGTAGGCTGCAACTCCATCAGAGCAGTTGCCATGGATACAGGGGTTAGAACCGCATTCATCAATGTTGATTTCACAGTGTGTCCCCGACCATCCCAAGAGACAGGAACACTGATAAGAGCTGTAGCTGTCTTCACAGTTTCCTCCATGCAAACACTGGCTGGAGTGGCAGGCATTTAGTGGCAAGCAGCCAGTAAAGACCACATCTGTAGAGACTTTGAAAAACTGCTCTTGCTGAGGCTTATTAATGGAACTATGAAGATTTTCAAAGTAAGAGAGGTATATGCCTCCAATTTCTATTGTGCTCAGACAGCCCTGTATGCCTTTTGCATTGTCAATAGCTTGGTCACCTACATAGATGTCTGTATTATCCTTCAGAAAGTTCAGGCTGCCAGTAGCAATTGTGCTGGTCACAAGAGGTGTTTGGTTGTCCACCTCCATTTGCCACCTGGAGGTCTGGGCCAGTGGGTCTATCATGGAAAACGTCACTTGGTGCCATGTGCCGTCATTTACCAACTGCACACTCATCAGATGCAGCATGTAGAAGCTGTTGCCACTTTGCAATTGAAATAATAATCTGGAGTCTTGAATGCTAATATTAAGAAACTCTGGCTCTTTTTCTGCGTGCAGTATCATTACATTTGTATCACGTGTTCTGAAACCAAATGTGATATTGGTGAGCTCTCTGGCAATATTCCCATTGCTTCTGAACAATATTTCTCTTCTTAATCCACTGAAAACAGCATTCGCAATACCTAAAGTGAGAGGATGAAACCAACTGTTACCCTCATTCATCGTATTTATCATCATATCACTGATGTCTGTATGATTGACACATTATGTATTGTGCTATTTGCTATCAAGTTGTGCCCAATATAGATTTTTTCCTGTCCTTACTTTACAAGAGAAGAACTTTAGAGTCACAGAAGGTGAGTAATTTGGTCATCAAAAAACCCCACAAAAACAAAACAAACAAACAAACAAACAAAAACAAATAAAGTCAGAATGTCAAACCTCCCTACTGTAATACTAAAACTCAACTCATAACTTTATTTTTTCAATTAAAATCTTCTGAAATGTTAATTATTGTTTTCCATTGGCTTATACAAATGAACACTTGATTATCCATTTTAAAAATAAACAACTAACCACATAGAAATCACAAATTTACTTTTAGTGACATGCTAATTAGTAAACAATTGATCTTGGCTTCTGATTAAGTTCATCAACATGCAACTCATAGAAACATTCACAATGATGGATTGATTTATGCTGCATAAACTCCAATTACATGCCCAGGTATCAACTTGCCACCTGTAACCAAGTAACTTCATGTGGTTAGAGGAAAAAATAGGAAATGATGGCATTTACATTCATGTATTGCATTGAATATAGCACTTTTGACAATCTTACTGTATTTCTCTATTGCAATTGCTTATAAGATCATTAACTCACAGTTTGTTCTATCTCTTAAAATATCTAGCCCTGTGTCTACCTATAGACTCCTATATATACACCGTTGAGACAAGAGAAGAAATAGAAGTGCCCAGCTTTCTACCAAACCTGTCAACCTAATCAAAAGCATCTGGGCTAGCCCTCTTTTCAGCATCACAACACACACCCTGTCCGTATTCATTTCAGGGGTCAGGTTTTCAAGTCTCATGTTGGGTACCCATTATTTTTACCATTTTGGGCCATTTTCCTATGAAATTGCTCCTGACAAGGTCACAATGACTTCTGTGTTATTTAATCCAGTGGTCAATTTTCTGTTCTCGTTTTTCTGTAGTAATGACCTGAAACCACGGCTGGGGACTTTCCTTGCCAGGCTCTGTACCAGCCACCATCATTGGTCATACAAAAGATTGCTTCTTAGTTTCCCCACTTCTGTGGTTGCTGAAGATGTCTCTAACACTTCTTAGTTCAAGATGGAAATTCTCACCACCACCCTGTGTGTTTAGAATCTGACCCCTGCTTAACTACTTCCAGTTCATAACATTATCTTCCTCCTCCACATGACACAATCAAGGAGCTTGTCCCAACCCAGGCCCTTTATACTCTCTGTAACTTAAACATGAATTATTTTTTCTCTAGGCTTCTTCCCCATGCTCAGGACCTCCTCAGTGTTACTGTCTGCTGGAATGTCCCCTTCTCCTGGCTATCCAAGTTAAAATTGGTCTTCCTTGTATCCTCCCTCTAATCTGTTACTGAGTGATTTCATACCCCATTTGTCATTTAATATTGAGTTTGTACTTATTTCTTAACTCTTTCTGTTCTAGTGCATGAGCTATATAGGACCAGACATGCTTTCTATAGAAGTGTTTACTCAGTCCTTTCATCGAGGTTATTGCCTGGCCTTCAATAAGTGTTCATTGAACATTAGTAAGTGAATAATCTCGGGCGCTATGTCACCTTTTATGTTGGAAAGTGAGACAATGATCAAAAACAACATCAGGAGAAACCCTAAGTGAATAATTCCCGTGTTATAACTTAAATAAAATGTTTGACTAGAAACTCTCATTTGATTTTACATTTTTTCCTTACCAGAAAGAATTTGGGAAAGAAGTTTAAACAAACATTATTATGCATTTTTTAAACACAAGATGAAAGGACCAATTGCATCATCTCTTTGTTGTCTATCATGTTTTGTAGATTTATTTGGCAAGTGTGCAGGAGACAATGAAGCTACTTCTTGCGATCTGGGGAAAATGTTCAATACACTTTTAAATCTTGCCTTTTCTTTGGGAAGATTTGCTTCGATTAATAAGCTTGTACCTAGAGGAAGTAGAAGAACTCCAAATCTTGTTTTAAGACTTGTTATGAATCAAGCAAACTTGGGGTAAACTGTGAACTGCATCAAGACTTCTTTACTGGGCTCTGTCTTCCCAGTGCATTTTTCTGTCCACATTGGAGAATAGAAGGCTTTACAGCGTATCTTTAGAAGTACAAGTTTCGAATGACAAGAAGGGATTCACATTTAATTTGAACATAGATCATTGGCTATGTTTGGACTCTGGATTATTTGACCTAAGGAGAAGACAACACATAAACCATAGTGCTTAGTTCATAATTATAACTAGTATTCTGATTGGAAAACCATTTACAAGGAGGGGAACAGTTACTACAAACAGTAACTGTGTACCTAACGCAAATCATGATACACATAGAACATACACAAAGAAACATGCAGACTAGGCAGTGTTTCCTGTGTTTTAGATGCCAGGAAGTTTTAGATTATGGTGGTTATATACATAATCAATGAACAGACATGAGGCAGATGTGCACATTTACTGTGTAGTCTCGGTATCGGGAAAGCAAGGGCAGGTATTGTTTGTTTGGTTCTTCACAAATTAGATTGAAATAATCGAAGAGTTGGGTTTGTTTTTGCAATGGCCGCTTTTCTCACTCAGAAACTCAGGGCAGTATGAATCACAGAGGCCATCCTGGTCATGATATTGGTCACACCAGGCTTATTAAACTTCTCACATTGGTTTCTCTAAGTTATCTATACTTGAATTCTTTTTTCACTGTTTGTTGTTTGGACAATTGAAATGTACCAACTAAACTGGATGGACGACAGCTTTGAATGTTACCTACATTCAAACCCTTGAGGGACCAGCTGGCACTGTGCACTAGGATGACATGGGCTGAGATGACACCACTGAACTTCCTCACAGGCTTTCCCCGCCGTGTTTGTAGGACAGGAACAGGAGAAGTCATCCCACAGGGAATAGCAGACACCTCCATTATGACAGGGGTTGGACTGAGAAAAAAAGAGAAAATCAAAGGGATAAAAAGCATTGGAAATGAAATATGGAAATGTTAAAGGTGAGATCATCTGTTACTTTAAAATGCCAATTCCCCTACATCTTTGCATTTTAGACATTTTTCACATTGTTAATAATATAGAATAAAGCTGACTACTACCATTTCCAGTTGCTTACTAAAAGAGCAGAGGAAAGAGCAATAGACAGAGGTGTGGGAGAGATAAAAGGGAAAGAAACAACAGAATTACAGAGGAAAAGAGATAATATAAAACTGATCTATGGCACAAGAAGGATTATCGAAACACAATGATGTTCTCTATAATTTATGAGTTACCAGGTACTTTGAACACATTTAGTATCACTGGTTATGATGATTATTATGGCTCTAATTGCCCAAGACCCCATAGCCAGGTGAAAAAGTGAGGACTGGTCCTTGATCCTGTATGCCCCATTACCTTTGCCTCTGCATCAGCCACACAGTATTATTTCAATTCTCAAGGTCATTCAGAGAGTAGTCAAAACACGAACATTTTTAACGTATTTGTTTAGCTCCTGCACTTCATTTTATCCAAGGTCTATTACCACATAGTTTTGCTTAGTTGTATACCCTCCTTTCTTTCTTTACACTTCTGGGGATAGGACACAAGTCCTTAAGCTTGCTAAGAATATATTCTACCACTGAGCCACACCCCCAGAACATTATGTACTTTTATAGACCTTAATTTCTTCATCTGTAAATATATAAATGAGATAACAATTTTCCTTTCATATAGCAGTCTTTCAATATAATGAAATGTTTTAGTTCATGTGAAATCATTTCAATTACAAGAAAAGTATTACTGCAGAAATACTACAATAGTTCCTTCATGTATATTTAGAACTGAATCTTGTATACAGTAATTATTGGAGTTCATGGATGTTCAAATGTTGTCAATGTGCTTCTCATGAAGAGCTAACCATCTCACATATTTAAAGCTATTTAGAAGACATGAAGAGTGCTTCTGAGGAATCATATGTCAGAGGATTTCAAAACCAACTACCAAAGGGAAACTGAGGGTTTGTTGTTGACTTAATGTAAGAAACTGTGTGCTGACATTAAATTTAGTGGGATCTTCTAAAATGGGTTGGTTTAGCTAAACCAATAGAACACCATTAAGAATTTGTAGCTTAAAATACTATTATTCCCAGGGAAGTTCGTTATTTTGGGAGCAGGAGAAGCATGTGACTGGAGTCATATTGGCTGTTACATATTCATGATATCAATAAAAAACAATATCACATTTCCATGGTCTTTTATAATTCTCGAGATGTGTAGATGAAAAGAATTCCACAACTGGTAGGTCATCAGCAATTTGTTTACATATTAAATTGGTTCTGTAGGGTGTTGCATGTACCTATAATCCCCACCCATGTTTGGGAAATTGAGGAAGAAAGACTGAGAATTCAAGTCTATCCTGGGCTACATAGTGAGTTCCCTGTCTTAAAAACCAAGGACAAAAGTAGAATGATTATAATAAATTATTTGATAAATACATTTTTAGTATGCACTATGGGTATGATTGATATGAATGACCCTACCTTACAGAAGTTGTCTCCAGGACAGCCTTGAGTCACATTGACAAGAACTGGATCATCATATCCATTGTTTGTTGAATTGGGGAAGAAGTCCAGATTTTGGTTGTTTAATCTTATGTCTTGAATACAGCCTTTGAAGAAGCCACCGTACATTTTAGTCTTTTGTCTGTCAGGTAGGCCACCAATGAAGATGACATCTCCTCTTTGAATTGTCCAGTCAGGAACAGAAATGAATCCTAGGTTTTGTGAAAACTGATACAGTTCAATTTCATTTGGTTTGATTTTCAAAGATATTAAGTGGGAATTTCCATCACTAAGAAAAAAATCTAATACTAACTTGGGAGGGCCTGGAGTCTGTAGTGCTAGGCTGCCATGCTCTAGCCAGACACTCACGTACTGGTAAGTACTGTTTTCCAAAGTCAGAAGTAAGCCTGATTGTCGACGTGTTCTGACGAACATGGAGAGACTGATGTTCTGTCCATAATCATCATCAATATGAAAGATGGCATATCCAGGGGAGTCATCCTGGCCAAATCTCCCGGCTACATACTCTTCAGGGTCAAAATAGGGAAGGAGAAAGAAAGAAAAATCTTTACATTCAAATGGCAGAGTGGGAGGGAGATGACAGTTTTGCAGGTATACACAACCAGACACTTTCGCAAGTTCCGCACAGCCTTATTCAGTAGAATGGTAAGGTTGCCTCATTTTGTGAGCCTCTAAGTTTACAATGAAAACCATTATATTTTGGGTTATAATAGTGGTCCACAAGCTACAAAGGAGAAAAATTGAAGCTTCTACAATGATCAACTAAAGAACATTCCCATCTCCCATCTAAAATCTAAACAATGAGACATTACACACCTCTGAGCCTCATCTTGGTGAAAGAAAGATGTGGGCGTGAGCATGTCATGTACCTCTGTGGTACCCTGCCCAGCTGATCTCTGCTGAATGGAGGTATGCTGAAGCAGACATGCTGTGAAATTGAACTGCTTTGTATCAAGGTAAAGATCAATAATAAGATGAGCAAGTTCAATTTGGGGAAGGCACCACACCTAGTAAGAGACAAGGGAGTTGGGGAAAGAGATTCTAGGAGGGTGAAATGTTCAATTGTGTTAACTGACTGAGGTCCAGTATGAGAAGGGCTGAGTGCTGTCTATTGAATTTGCAACACAGAAATTATTGCTGAGCTTGACAACAGCTCTGGCATAAAGATATTGCTGCTTTGGGTTTTTGCATCTCAGTTGTAACTGGGGGAAAAAAAAGATCATATCTTATCATGGTTAGCTATCATCACCAATTGAAGTTTGTGTGAAAGTAAGACATATTTTAGTTTAGCTGAACCACAGTGAATCTTGCTTAGACAACCATCTGTGTTTGAAGACCTTCTGCATAAAAGGGTACATTTTCAGAACTTAACTTGATTCCTATAGGAACATTGCATTGTGGATCTGCATTTGGACACCACCTGCTCCAGGCAACTACAGGTAGCTTTCAAAGGTACTGTCAGATAAAATAACCTCTTTGAAGAGGTTAACATCTCTGAACACACTGCGGCACTTTTGTGTAGGATAAAATGCTTAATAAGAAAATTGGGCTCTTGAAGCCCTTGAGTTTTGAGGATAGGCACAAAAATCCCTCAAGCTCAGGGGGCCGGGCCCCTGCTGGTCATCCTAGGATGCCTGCAGCATCACTTTGTGGATCAGAATAAAAGACAGGATGCAGAGATGGGTTTCTTTATTTCCTTAGAAACTTGACTCTCCAGTAATCCTATTCTTCAGAAATCACAAGCAGGTAGTCAGAGTGTGTGATGTGCTACATGATTTTAGAAACACCATAAGCCACATAGGAAGGACTTGACTCTGAGCATGGAGGATTTGATTCTAATGCATATTGCCAATATGTTCTAAAGATTTATGGGATGGAAAAATAATTTGACAAGTTTTAATGATTGATGGACTATAGGATGAAATTTAATGAGAATAAGTAGGAGGCATTTATATTTAAATGTGACTCATCCATTTAGGATAGAAGACAGAGGACTCTGTAGCCTCACAAATATCAATGACTAACAAAAGACAGTGTGCAAACAATGTGCCACACAGTTAATGTGATGCTAATAAGACAAATGGCAGTATCTCATATAGGAAGAGGAAGGTTATGGTCCCATGTCACTATGTCAACAAGCACATTCATGTATCACATTGGAAAGAAGTAAATGTATGACAAGAGGAGCAAGCAGCTGATGATGTCATATAGAGACACTAGAGGAAAGTAATATGTGTATGATGGGAGTGGTTGCTGGGTGTGAAATATTTTCCCTCAAATATTTAGGGATTCCCAAGAAGAAATGTTAGTCTTTAAGTGAGAACATCCCTGATGGAAACTGTTTGAGGAAACAAAAACTTTGGGTAAACCACAGTCCAGAGAAATGGAAGGAAACCACTGCTTGGAAATTTGGGGCAAGATGGAATAGCAAATTCTTTGCTCTGGAATTAGGTGCAAAGCAGAAGTTTGCATTAAAAAAATCCAGCCACTAAATGAATCCTTGTCAAACCTAACAGTAGGATTAAACATCTACAAGTTGTTTTTTTTAAAAAATAGATACTTCCCAAATAAAAAAACAGGTATGTAATATATGTTCTGACACATAACACCATACATATTGATGGCCCCATGCAAACCTTCTCAAACCCCTCTTACAGGGCATAAATGGTGTTTGAGAAGGTCGACTTCAAGATATTGTTAATTTCTACACCTTTTGTGTTACTCAGACCCAGAAATCCTGTGCCTAGCCTGTCTTCTTCTCTCATTTGCCAGTGGTAATCATTGTTCCAAAATCATTATCTGGAGACTGGAGACGTGGCTCATATGGTTAAGAATGCTTCTTGCCCTCATAGAGGACCCAGATCAAAACTGTCTTTGACTCCTGTTCCAGGGGATCTTCAGACCTCAACAGGCCCTGCTCTAATGTGGTGCCTAAACAAATACACTCAGACCCACACACATACACATAAAATAGAACAATAAAATATCTTAAAAAGTCATTATTTAGATGACTCGCTCTCCAGATTTTTAGTGTATCTCATATAAGTTCTCATTTGTGCTCTTAAGCATGTGTGTGTGTGTGTGTGTGTGTGTGTGAGTAAAAGGAATCAAATATAAAAAACATTCCTACATAGATCCCAGCAATACAAAATATTTTAACTACATGGTTCAGAGGTGATACAGCAAACATTACTTTCTTTTAAACTTCTCTCAGAAATTTCCAGAAAGAATTGGTTTTATTACATTCCTGCCCTATAAACTTTTGATACCAAAAGGAAGGTAAAACAGTTTCAAATAGTATGAGAACAGAGGGTATCATCATACTCAGTGTGAGTATAGGAGAATAATCAGACTGTTTAAGGAATATGGAAAGTGTAACCAAATCAGGAATTTGGTTTTAAAAGTTCATTATTTTCCAAGCTAGAAAAAATATAAAGCAAACCAGAACCCACTGGATTGGCATCCCTCGAATCTATTTCCTAGGACAGTCAGCATCCCCATGGTCAGTGTTAACCTCACGGGTCACTGCATCTGGAAGCCAGTCAAAATGAGTCCGCATCTGTTTGTTATTTTGTATATGTAGTAAAAATATTGCCTTGGGTCAATTAGATTTTTCTTCAAAAAGTGAACCATTTCCTCGGCATAATTCCACCTTTTCTCTTTTAAAAATAATCACAAAACAACTTGCCATGCCATTTAAAATATTACATAGAGCAGCAGATGCCATGCCTCATTGTCAAACAGGTCCGTGATTGTAATGAATGTTGTGGTGAGGGGTAAACCTGCGAATAGTTTCTAATAATTCTCAGCCATTGAACATGGAGTAGGGTATAGGCTACGGCTGGTTTTCATTTTACTTCATAGAAAACAGAGAAGACTATTTCCCAGATGCTGTCCTACTTGGAGTAAATTGCAGCCGAGCTTCAAAGCAGTCTGTTAGGGTTCCCTCTTAGTGTGTGATAATAAGAATAAAGGGGAGCAGATATGTATCAATTGCCATCCATGGCAATCTTTGGAGTGGTGCTGGAAGCAAAGGATTTGCAATACACTTCAAACTGATATGTTGGAGGAATAGGATCAGCTTGTGTGTGTCAACTACCGTGTCTTCTTTTGTCTCTACTGAAGACATCGATCTGCTTTGCACAATAAGACTATGGGAGGGACAGTTCTGAATAGAGCTGATGGTTTGTCAACTTGCCACTCTTAAGCATGATTCTATGCGAGGAAGTGGATATCCACTGAGACGCTGCCAAGCACAGGGTACAGTCGTAGTGTGTGGTTCTAAAGTCTGCATCCATCTACAGCTCCCATTTCTCCAAGAGATGACATCTTGTTCAAATAAGGTTTTCCATACGTTTCTGATATGCAACAAATGACAAAGTTCTAGAGCTTTCTACCAACTAGATGAAACACCATTTTGATAGGAGCTATTATCTTACTGTAATTTATAATCATAATCATCATTATTTTACTTTTCAGCCCAAGTAGAGTTTAGCTGTCCTATGAAACCCACTCATAATTAATACACATCAGTGCAGGCCCCCTTTTATATCTTAGTAAGCAAGCATTAGCCTAGGTCCTGAGGGTCCCTTATGTTTCCTAACGGGTGTTTCTGAGATGGCTCTGCTCGGAGGCACAGCACTCCTGGGCACCCAACTCCTCTCACCTTCCAGGCAGTTGGAGCCTGTATAGGGCCTGTCACATTCACACTGGTATCCCTGCCACAAGTTGATGCAGCGGCCTCTGTTTTGACAAGGTTGACTTTCACACCAGTCCTCTCTCATGCAGCCTGCTTTGACGTTTAGTGACAAGGTAGGTGAAATGTTCTCCAGAGTAATGTGATTCAAATCAAATTGAATATCTTGGAGACAGCCTATGAAGGAAGGTGTGGACGGCACATTATAGACATTAAGGAGAGACACTCCGTTGCTGGTTGTTCCCACTGGTAAGCCACCCAAAAATGAGTTCTGAAAAGCACATAGTGACTGCTGATTCTCACTTGGAAAAGAAGTCTTAGTGGTGCACGTCCCCTTGCAGGAGCTGCCAATTAGGGTGAGCGTTATAGTTTCTGCAAATGTTACCTCCACCAAATGCCATTCTCCATCACTAGTGTTGTGGGAAATATATAAAAGCACATTTGATTGGTTCTGGACTTGGATGGATAAGTGAACACAGCCATTTAGCAACTCCAGCTTCATAGACATATCCCTGTTGCCTCGGAAAAGGAGAAGTGTGTTTGGTTGAACAGTCTGAAACCTCAAAGACACGTTACATTCTGACTGTAGGGTTGTATGTGAGCCACTTGTGACCCATAGGAAGCCATTGCTCTCAAAAGAAAGTGTGGTGTCAGTTTCACACAGTGACCCAGCATAGCCAGAAGGACATTGGCAGGTGAATCCATGCTGGCCATTCTCAAAGTGAGGGATGCATTTTCCATTATTGAGACACTGGTGATGAGTGCAGCCCAGAAGAACTTCAGAGCAGTCTTCTCCTCCATAAAATGTACTAGAAATGTCATCAAAGGGGCAATGGCAGGTATAATTCCCAGGCAGGTTCTCACAAGTACCACCATTTTGGCAAGGGTTTTGTAGACATTCATCAATGTCTTCTTCACAGTGGATTCCTGTTAAATAATAAGCAATTGGTTAAATGTGTACACACTTACATAGACATATATAATCAAATCATTAAAGAAGTTTCATATAAATTATATATACACACATATATACATACATATCCATACATACATACACTCATACATATAAAATCAAGAAATACAAATCAAGTTCCAGGTTATAACTATGAAGGAGTAAATGTAATACTTGAGGAAAACTAAAATCAGTTATATTATTCTACATATGGTGTGAAAAGAGCAGTCATGACAGACTTAGAATTCTTCTAGAAATAGAACATTTGTCAATGATAGCAATCGTCTCGAGTTACCATTGTCAAATATACATATGGCATTAACATGAAAGCAAAACAAAAAGAGGGAAACGATGCTTTTGGCAATGATCCTAGATTTTAAAATGATTAATTTGTGGATGCTTTTCTCAGTTCCTGTTTATCCTGGTATTTCCTCTCTTCTGTTTGGAAAGAATGATTGCTCTCTTTTTTGATGGACCATCCCATAACCCCTAGAACAAAGTTTTCCAAATACATAGACACATACATCTCTCAAAACAAAATTCAAATAGTGCTTGGTCATTGAAAAATAATTTACATAGTGTGGTTATTTGTTCTGCCCTACAAATTGAAGAGTCTTGAAATAATAAAATAAAGTAAACATGAGAATTACCTGATATTAGTCTAGAATCTCATTAGAGTCTAAATTCCACTAGGGAAGGAAATGTGTTTTGTTCATTATTCAGTGTATAAGCCTTAGTTTAATATTTGACTCATATTTGAAAATCCCAAGAACCCCTAAAACCAAAGATTCATTTAATAATTAATCTTTTAAATGAATTAATTAATGATTTTCATAAAGTAACAAATATTTTATAAGGGATTAAATCTTATCCACAACCTAAAGTGTTCTATGTATGCTTACTAATCTAAGAAATGATAATTCTTCACTGTCCACCCGCACTTATGTACCAGACATTAAGGCACTTGATTGGAAGGTTTCTATCATAATTATACTTTACTTTACTTGGATAGCTTTCACATTAGCTGTATTAATTCAAAAATGTTTTAAATTTTGTGAGAACGGTGAAGTACTATAATTTTACTTAAAGTCTCCCACAGTGCTGGCACAGTGCTGAGGGCACATGCATGTGAATAGAAAGGGTAGAGCTAGGTGACACTCATCTGTTTAATGGATATGGAGAATGAATATAACATCATAAGTGAAGATTAACTATAAAGGAGTATTCTAAAGAAATTTTAACTACATCAAGAGTTTGAATCTTTGTATTAGAAGAAATTTCCCACAAATTTGATTCTTACATATTTGAACAAGAAACCAGCAAGTATTTCACCAAGAGAAATTTTTTTCAGGCACTGTAGGAGATGCTTGTCATCCCAACATTTAGGAGGTTGAGGCCAACTTGGACTATACAGTGAGGGCCAGAAGAGCCTCCACCATACAAAAAGACCATATACAGACAACAAACACAAACTAGAAATTTCTTAATAGACACACAACTTCAAATTGCCTCCCAAGAACCTTTATCTACTCTTGAAATTCATCTAAAGCCTAAAAAGCCTGAAGCTTATTATTATTTTAATTTCTCCTAGGACTTAGTTTGGTACCTACAGCAAAACACCTTAACAATTCATCAAACATTCAATTTACAGTTCTTTAAATTTTGCAAAGTACTGCTGTGTGTCCTACTCTCACAGAATATTGTGGGAAGTGGAGAGATGTGGAAGCCAATGACTCGGCCTTGATATGGTTACAGTATAATGGCGTGCCATAAATGCGACTATAGTATAATGGTATGGCATTTATGAAAATGCATTGCACACAGAAGGCTTTCAGTGGTTGCAGATAGTCTGGAAAGAGCAAACTCAGGCACCACCACACCATATTTAGGAAAGTTCTAGTCAAGGCTTTGAATCAGAGACATTAAAACTAATAATTAAAATCAAATAAACAGTGACGTTATATAGAACATGAACAGAATCATGTAGATAGCATTGATGACAATGAGGTCTTACTGAACTTAGTGAAGATGAGACAAATGTAGGAAAAGAAAGTAGTTGTGTGAGAAATTGCCCACCAGAGAGGGAGCACTGCATAGATCACAGCAAACTGTGCAGGCAAAAAATGATTGCAACCATAGCAGCCTCACTCCAGGATGGCCAAGAAAATTTTAGGGAACTGAAGTTGAATCTACATTTCAGCGATACATCAGAGTGACCAAAAAAATCATTGTGTGCACAAATTAGCAGAGAAAAAACCCTGGATGGAAAATCTGAAGACCTTCCTAAGTGGCAATTGTATTTGGCAAACTGGCTGTCATGGAAGGTTCATGGAGAAAGATCAAGTTAGAAAGGTTAGGCCAATGCACTCAGATTGGAGAGCTGGAGCCTACAAAGTTTTTATTGTTTTATTTATTTACTTATTTACTTTTTGGCAGTGGAAACGATGGGCATAAATGTGGGCTGGAAGACCAATGTGGTCCCTTCCAAAGGTCAGTCCCCCAGGGATGAGTGAAGAGAAAGAAACTAGAGACAGGAAGACGCGCCAGGAGCCATTAAAACTCCACAGTGAGACTATCAAGGCCTGAAATAGGATGTTTACTTCCTTACAGTCCCGGTTGCCTTCATTTGTATCTGCTCAGCATATAAATGCCCACGACAGTGCCTTCTTTATAGTTGATACTGTATTTTTTACCCCTAAAATATACAGATATGATCTTTCACAAAATACCAATAACTTAGCAAAATATTTCCCTTATACGTATAAAAATTCAATTTTGCCATCATTTAAAAAGAAATGGAGAAAGAACCTGTCTTAATATTAAAAGTCTGAAAGATACACAGAGTGAAGGGAAAACAGAATGGTTGCCATGGCTTGTGCTCTTGTCTGTTTAAAATCAGTTCTGCAAACATCACACTAAATAAGGTCAGATTATTTGATGAACTAGGTCAACTCAAAATGTGAAAAAACACATTGAAAATTCTTTCACTAGGGCTCGAGAGATGTCTCAGTGGTTAAGAGCACTGACTGCTCTTGCTGAGGACCCAGGTTCAATTCCCAGCACCCACATAGTGGCTCATAGCTGCCTCCGACTGTTGCTTGAGTGAATCTCTCTTCTGACTGCCACATCAAGCAGGTACATATGTGGTGAACAGACATATATGCAAGGCAAACCATTTCATACAGTAAAAGTAAAATAAAAGATAGACAAATAAAAAAGAACGTTATTTCTCTGGTTATCTCACCGACTGGGCAAAGGAAAAGGTCTGCTCTCTATCAAAATAAAAGAATCAGGTGATTGATATTCATGGGTTTAATCTGCCAGTCAGTCTTTCTATTGGGGAATTTTAGTAGTTGTTATTTGGTTGCTCATATCCAAGACTTAGTGAATAATGCAAATTGCTTAAAGTTTAGTCATTTAAAATCAGTTCAGTTAGCTAAAATCTTACTATTTGTTTTTCTAAAAGTCTTATATAACATATGATTCTACATAGTGTCACTTTTAAAAATAGTTATGATAGAAAAATCTCTACCACCTGGTATACTGCAAACATTAATCAGAATACATAACATTTGTGGATAGAAAGGGGGCCAGACATGGTGGCACATACTTGTAACCCATGCCCTTGGAAACTTGAGTTAGGAGGATCCAGACTTTAAGGACAGTGTGGGCTACATTGTGATGGCATGTTTACTATTGTCTATAAATTGACTTTTTCCATAATTTTCACTGTAAGTCATGTTGCTAACAAAATATCTTGTAGAAAAATTTCTATGAAAACAAAAATATTGCATTTTTATCTATTTTAATTACTTAGATGTTCTTTTCAAAAAGTAGAAATTTGAGAAGGAATTAAATGAAAAAAGCCAAAGATTTAATGTGTGAATATATCCACTTTCCCTTGCTTCAAGTTCTACTTTTCTTATAACAACAGTATCTGTTATAGCACTAAATATTAGTGGTTAAATAAATACCTTAAAAACTGTAGCAACAATACCAATTATCTAAATAATAAGAAGAAAGTAATTTACCTATAAGCAATGCCATTAAAATGTGAAAACCTTGTGTCCTCTCTCCAAACATATTTCTGTAAAAAGTAAAAACAGCTAGCCAACCAAAGTCTACCAGGTCAACCGAAATTGTTTCTGATGTCTTTGTGTTCTTCCCAAAAATGTGGGCTTGCGCTTCTCAGGGAGAATCCGAGGGCTCAGCTTGACTTACTCCCACTCGAGCTGGATCAGTGGGGTGTAATGTAAGTCTCAGCTGTGCCACATACCAGACAGCATTGTTATATTTTTAGACCTGATCCTCTTAGGACACATAGTGTCTCCCTCCTGTAAGTCTCTTTAGTCAATGTTTGTATGATCTCGACATTAAGCAACATTATTATGGAAACCGAGGAAGCTCCATTCAAACTATGATGCAGAGAAGTTTTGATTATGGAAAATCATTAATTGATTTTATTTTTCTTCACAATTAAGGAAGTGCTATGTTGGTCTTTTATTTGTTTTATTTCTTTAGGAGACTGGGGTTTTGTTATGCAGTCCTGGCTGGCTTCCAATTCATGATACTCTGGTGGTCAGCCTCCATCAGACCTGTTGTTTTCTGGGGTTTGTTCAATCCCTACCACTGAAACAAAACCAAACCCCTCAAGACAACAGGGTGTGGTTAAGAAGTTCACAGCAACTTCATTTGCTGATTTTGGTAGAGAATGAAAAAGAGAGAAATATGGAGGGAAGCAGCAGAGGTTTCACTGAGACTAGTGGGAATAGCTTGCACTCCACATCTGTGAGTGCCACCTCTGGGGAGTCTCCCAACTTCACCCCAGGCTTACTAACAACTATGAGCTCTGTTCTCAAGATCTGTAGACTCTATTGTTATTGACCAGGGGATACTGTGAAGCATCCATCTACCCAGTATTTACATTGTATTAACCAGTATAAGTAATCTACAGGTGGGTTAGTTAAAGCATGCA